CGACATTTTAAATGAGATATTTTAAACCATGTGGCAAAGTGTTAGAATCGATTCAATAATATCAAAAATAGTAATAATACCAATGGTAAAATAATTAGATTAAAAAATCATTTAAAATAATAGTCCGCGGTGCAGCTTCCATCTTTATCGAATTATTAACATACGTCTAAAACTTTGTGAATGGGTTCAGCTTATCGTAACCTATAACTCGTAACAGTAACAGTAAAACAGTTTTCGACTCATTGACAGATAGTAAGCTTTATTTAATCCATTCATAAGGACTTAGCCTCTTTTTTTTTTTGTAAACTAGATGAATTTATGTTTATTTAGTTATATACAAAAAAAAATTAGTTGAATCCAAATGTTTCAAGTTTTTCATGAATAATAAAATAATTGACTGTATAGAAAAACTAAATCGGTAAAAAACTAAATTGCCATCAATTAAACTGATTTGCAAAGATCCACCATCAGAACTAAAGCTGTGGTTCAATGTTGAAAATTCGTCTTAAAGTGTCTGTTACCGGTATATTGATCATATTATCTTAAACTATTACTATTTTTAAATTCAACACCATTTTGAATTTATTGAATTAAATTCATGTTTTTACTATCACAATAATAATTTAAAAAGCATGAATACTAATTCTCTGAGGTATTCTGATTCTTTGGCCGTTACTTTGCCGGTTAAAAGCCTTTAGATATTAAATAAAACTCTCGATTATCACGAAAACTATCTTAAATGCACGAAGTAAAAAGAATTTCAATTTCTGAAGTCAATAAGCAGCCTACCATAATAATTATAAGAAATAACAGAGAACCTAATAACAGTCCTTGCGGCGAAGAGAAGGGGATGGCAACTTGTAAATCCGTCTAACCACCAAGTAATAAATTTGCAGCAGCTCTTTGGCTAATTGTAAGCGAGATCCGCCAATAGAGGAAGAGGACCGTTATTAGACCAATCGGCTGATGGATGTGGTCCATCGAGGAGAAGTTGATGGCCAATAATCAGGGGAACACCCAGCGGCCGATTCCTTATTGGCTACTAAACGTTTAATGGCCATCTTGTGGGAGGCAATGAAACCCCCCGCAAACGCCAAGGGCCCATTTGAGCAAGGGACTCTGGAGTTCAAGTGGCGTATGTTTTTATTGTAAATTAGGTATTTTTATTAAATCACGAACTATAGTGAATATATATTTGTATATATAAATTAAAAAATAAAAATATATAAACATATTTATGAAGAATGGCATCTACTTACTTTTTATGTGGAAAACTGCACGTCTTAAATTTTCCTCTTAAATGTATTTTAATTTTTATTTATGTCCTTTGAGAAAGATTTCAGTATTTTTCAATAAAAAAGTTAGAACCGGAAATTTTTATCTAAAGTCACTAATTTTCACACTGTATATTAAATATTTATTGTTATAACATTATAACCAATAAAACAAACACTCTAGAATAGGATAACAATAAAAATGATATAGCTCTGAAATGCCTGAAACGTCACTGCAATATAGAAAACCACAAAAGTTTAAAAAAGCTAGATGGACAATAAAGCAGACAAAAAAGGAATCATATTTTCTTTCATCCACAACATGATTACGAGATAACTTCCGTTCTATCATTATTGTGGCATAAAATTCACATTTTTATACTAATTTAATTTAATCTGTTTAATATTATTCAGCTCAGTTACATTAGATGAAAGATAATATCAAATTAATGACTCAATAAAAATTTAAAACAGATAAATCAGGTACGGACATTTAATTACAAAAATAAAGCATTCTAAATTTTTGCTGATTAACTCACCTAGCAGACAACTCGCACATACTGCCAGAGGGAAAAATAGCTTAAATAACCAAAAAAATGAGTTATAACTTAATTTAATCTTATTTTGCATAGTTTATTCATTTACATAATTATTAGGTAACTTTTTAAAGAAAATATTCTTGGAGTGAAGATGCCCAAAACATTTTAGTCGTGACGTTTAGAATTCTGTAAGATATATATATTATTTATTTTTTATTTGCTGTTACATTTTATTCAATGACTATTTGTGATTTGGTACTTAGCGATTTTTATTTAATGAAGCTGAGGTTTTCTTTTGGGTATTTTGTACACAGGCATAGGTCTTGAAAAGTGAGATTTTTAATGTTTAGCCGAAGGTGAGATAATAGAATCTGAACTTTAACTAATAGTTCATTTCAACTAATATCCTACGTTTCTCTATACCATTTTTTGAAACCCACTAAATATAAATATTTAATTATTTAACACCGACTAATTCATAAAATGCAATAATTAAAACCGATAGAATCTTAATTGGAAACTTCTGAATGGGTGTAATACTATTTAAATATTACACAAACGACATTGCGTAACCCAGTCAAAAAGAAATTTTGACAACTCAGAAATAATAAGGCTCTAAGCAAGTCTTGTGTAATCAGTGGTCACCGAAACACTGACAATCCCTTCTGGATCCAGGTTAGGATACAATATTGTTTACAATATTGTAAATGAGAATGCCACACCACAACATAGGGGACCATTTTTATCTAACAATGAAACATAAAAATTTTTTAAAAAATACTAGAAAAAATAAAAAAATTGACCTATTCAGTATAAACATATCTTTTTATACACATTAAAAACATTGTTTTAAATAAACTGATATTAAAATAGTATTGTTTCATAATATCACTGATGTTCCAATAATTATGATATTCAACGTTAAATAGTAAACAAAAAAAAAATTGAATATTATGAGTAGGCAGTAAGGCGAAATGTTTGCGCTCTGAAGTTTAAAATTAATTTTATAAAATCCCAGAAAAAGGTATGTAGTATTATGTAAATTGAAACTTCGTCGGATAATCGTTAGAGATGACGCGACCTACACATCTCTTCTCTCTCTCCCTCCCTTGTAACGACTTTTATTCTCCCTTCGACACTTAAGGGGAAAGGTAGTACTTCTTTTATTTCTTTCTTATTTCAGCTTTCTCAATTTCTTCCCTCCTTCCTTTCATTCCTTTTCTCTGTTTTTAACTCTTTTTTATATTATACATTGTCTGTACATCTTGATAGACTTTACAATATCTCAATTTTCTATCTAACTACTCCATTCTCAATGTTTTAATTTTACTATTTATTTTCATTTCTTATATAACTTTATATTTCTTTTTTATGTTTTACATTTTATTCTAAGATTCCCATTGTAACACTTTTGTCACCCCTTTTTGATTATGCCTACTTCATCATTCTACACTATGTAACAGTTTTTATTATTTATCTCTTAGTTCTTAGTCATTATTCTAACAATTTCATTTTACTTTATATTTATCTATTTTATTTTTCTAATAATTTTTTTTATTATATATATATATATATATATATATATTTTTTTTTATTATTATCTTTTTTACCATCATTACTTATGTTTCTCATACCTTGTTATCTGGTTATTTTCTTAGCCCTGATGAAGGCCTGAACTTCAGGTCGAAACGTCGGCATATGTAAAAAATAAATATTATAATTTATTTTTGCCTTCTTTTTTTGACTGAACACCCCAACCATTCTTCTCTTCATTATCCACGACAGTCAACCAATTACCAATTATTATGTAAATTGTTTCCAAATAATAAATATTTCATAAAAGAAGTTGCAGTTGCAGCATACAACTGTGAACGTAATTTAACTAAGTACTAACTAAACTTTTAATCAAAAAATTTAACCTATAACAAATTGAATTCATGATAAATAATAATATATATATTCAAAATTAACATTACATCTGTCATCTTGTCGCCCAAATGGCTTATTTTACATTCAAATGTATGATGATTTATGATATGATTTAAAATTCAAATTATACACTCTCAAAACGCGAAGACATAATTTGAGTAGTCAACTGAATCTTCCATGTTAGAGCCAATATGATCGTTCTACTTCCCATCAGTTCGAATTCATTCAGGGCAGGTCGAAATTTATTTCCTTGCGAGCCCAAAGAATAAATCTCGACTTTCTCACTTTGGTAAAAATAGGTTGGTCACATGTTGCATAAGCTAACACATAATAGTTTTCAACCCATCCCTGTTCCTATCATAACATAATTAAATGAGTCGTTCATTTCCAAAATTAATCCTAAATATCACAGACATTTCTTCAGGAAACGCGAAAAACTATCTTTCTATTTCAATTGTAATATCAAAAACAATATTTAAAAAAAAATAAGTTACGATAATCTTTATTTGTAGCACACATTACCGAAAATCATTATTTTAATAGTAATTATTAAAACATTAACAAATTAAAATTCAAAGACAGTTTTTGGAACAATAAAAGATCGAGAGAAAACACGGAGAATGTTTCAGAGATAAAAAAGTTTTTAAAATATTACTACATAAACATAACTTTTTGTTCATATTAATGGTACAATAAAATCAATTTATTTTTTATTTTTGTTCGAATGAAAACGTTAAATATGATTTTGATATATTTTTTTAAATACTCAAGAAATGTAATGAAAACATCACTTGAAAAAAGTTGTTTAAATAAACTTATTTTTGCACCACGTTTTAAAACAAATATCAAGGTTATTTTTTTAAAAGAAACAAAATCGCACCATCTGATTATTGCCCGTTCATATACGAGCCTTTCAGTTGACAGAATTACTAACTTCAATTTCAACATTTTTATTATTAATTTTAGTGGTATTACTGGTGAAAAAATGTATATCTTTATACACATTTTTATATTTCAACACTGAAATCACCTCTTCTGGAATCAACTTACTCACTGTCTCTATAGATATTATAAATCATCTAATCAGAAATAACATTAAAAAGACTTCACTGAAAAATGATGAAGTTAGAGTTAGTCTTTCTGTCAACTGAAAGGTTCATATAGGAATTTATTTCGTGTTCACTTTAGAAAGAAGGGACTCGCATATAAATAATATTGTAACTATTTGCTATTTATAGACCAACACAATTTTTTTTTTTTAATATTTATTAATTCAATTAACATTTTTTTTTTAAAATAAGCCTAGAGGGGTGAGGTTCGTTATTTTTAAAACCAAATTAGTCCTTGTACACTTCTCCTGGTTTGGGTAACTTCTTCAACTTCTGTATATTCTGTTCAGTTTCCTGCTGCACTACCGCAGGATCTTTGATTATTTTATTAATCAGATCCTTGTCAGTTTTATTGGGTCGCGGGCAGGTTCTTGGTGAGGTCCTGTCAGGATACTTGAGCTTTGCTCTATGCCTCCTCGCCATAAGGAAATCTCCTAAAGCACCTATCAAAAAGGATACTTTTTCAAATTTAAACACAAACAATTCACGTGATTTTCTGAATGCCTCAGACATTGCACAGATAATGTACATCATGTTTGCATCCACATACCGTATAGATCTGAGTATTAATAGAGTATTAATTCGCCATAAGGCCGTTTCACACAATCAACATTCTGGAACAAAGCTTTGTTACAGAAATGGTAGTTATGTACTTTACTATTCAACCACCAGGGAAGATAATAGCCTTCTCTAGCTTTTAAACCACTGCCGAGTTAAATAGTCCAGCTAAACAATTCAACAGTTTCCTGAAGAAGAAAGCTTTTTTGAAACTGGTCATAATTACAGATTTTGTTCTAGAATTAGTTTAAACTGAAGTGGGACGTTTAAACAAAAACATTCGATGGAATCAACATCATCAACATAAGAATCAAAAGAAATTGCTGTATATATTGGAATGGCAAAGAAGTCCTTTCGGTTTTTATGTTTATTGTTATGTCACTATGATACACTTCTTATCTAATGGATCAATCCCTAAGATGGATTCGTGATCCTGTTTGTAATATGTCAACAACTATGTCAGTTAACTCTTGTTGAAATTAGCTTAGTATTGTGTTTGCTATTGCACTGTGAATACGGAACAAAATAGTATTCATTATCAGCATATTTTGTTGTATTATTTTAAAAAAGGTAAGCGTGCTGCAGAAGCTCATAGTACAATTTGCAGAGTTTATGGGGATGATGTCTTAACCGAACGCACCTGTCAAAATTGGTTTGCCAAATCTCGGTCTGGTCGCCCACATGAAACTCAAACGAGCAATGTTAAATCCATTGTTGATCAAAATCCCATCCGAACATTGCTATGTTTCCAGGTTTAATGCTTGGGTCCTTCAGTTCATTTTTTTTCGAAATTCACGAAAAATTGTACAACTTCCATACGACTTTAGCTATCTACAAAAAATTTAGGGCACCATAAACTATGCAAAATGACATCAACAGTACCTTCGTAAACAAACTAAAAATGGAAAAAAAAATGTAAACCTATAAGGAATTCAGTTAAAAAAATTCCAATTATTCAGGAAAAAATTCCAAAAGGAAGAGGACATCAAAAACCACTAGGATCAGTTTTTTAACAACTAACTCCGGACATTCTATGATCATGGCATTATGCAGTTGGTAAAAAGATGGGAAAAGATCATAATAAATAATGATCAATATATTGTAGATTAAAATTAATTTTATGTCTATAATACATTGAGTTTTATTTCATCGTGAAAAACCGAAAGGACTTATTTGCCAATCCAATATATATATATATATATATATATATATATATATATATATATATATATATATATATATATATATATATATATATAATAAATAAACAAGTTATATACAACGAACAAGTTGACTGATGGAGTGACCATATGAGTGTTGTGCTGAACGGGTCGGTGAACTGCATTAGTCACAATGTTTAGTCTCTTTGTGTTCTGGTGACATTGCTTCCTCATTAATAAGCCCTGTGTCATTCAATATCATTCGAGATAAATCACAATAATAACGATATAACATAAAATATAACTATGATTAGCATGCAAAAAACAATTTATATAAATGCTTAAATTGTTATAATTATAACCGGTATAAAATGTTCTATCTTGAATATTAAGGAACATCATTTTATTTTTAATATTTTATACAACAAATGTAACAAATAATTAAATTTTAATAAGAACAATATAAGCTTAAACAGACGTAGTGAGGTTTAAATTCAAATATCCAAACATCTACTGCTAATCAATTTTTTTTATTTTTGGTAAACCATTATTTTATTTATTTTTTTGTGAAATGTATTATGGGGATTATTCAATTATTCCTTACATTGAATCTAAATCATAATTGCTAAATATTAAACTGATGAAAGTTAGTTTTTAGTTATTTTTTATCATTTTATATTCATGAAATATTCAAATATGTGATATTCATAAATAAATATCAATTTTATACTTCGCTACTTGAAGTAACCGATAAATTAAAAAAAAAAAAAATAATTTTTGGCTTTTTATCTTGTTCACACTTTTGAAAGCATTCCTGTAAATAAAACATCTTTATGAACTAATATTTTGAGATGGTGTAAACTCATTTTAGAATGTTAATACAACACACGTTAAAACGATGAGTAAATAATAAAATATTAAAATCTACCTAAAATAAGTATATATAGCCTTTGGGGACAACTATATGTTACAAGTATAACTTCTGATCTATACCATCTGCTCTATTTAGAAGAGGAAGCTGATTGATGATGAATGTGAAAAAGCTGAGACAGATTAGGACTACAGGGTGTCCAGGATCACCGATGTATATTGTGGTGTTCAGGAAAACTGCTGAAGCAATAAGGGCCAAACTACTGAGGAAAATTGGTCTCTACATCATCACGGAGGACAATTTTCCTCAACTAGTATGTAAGCATAACATTCGTGAACGGGTGGAAGGAAATAGTGGGGGATGATTACTTCAACCAAGACCCAAGAACCTGAAGATAAGTGATAGAAGTATCAACTACTTTTACCAAAAATATGTATAGCCGAGAGGCAATGGAAGATGAAAATAAAACAAATAAGTTTAAATTACTGAATAAGTTTGATTCAAAAATATTTATCATATTAGAAAATATCTTCTTATTTTTACATTTTCTGTTGAACAAAAATAAAAATAAATTCATCAAAGAAAATAACCTGCAGTTTGATACATGAAATAAAATTAGAAACTATTTTAAGTGCATTCGGTGAGAAAACTTTTAAACTGCGGCATATACAGTCGTCCATGATACAGACCCCTTTTTAAAAAATCAGTAACATCCACCTAAAATTTTTATATCTACGAAAATTCTCAGAAATGCGACGTTTTTTCAGTAAATTAATTAATTTTATGAGGTACTAAAAACTCATAATTACCCATTTGCTTTCCACTTGAATCGTAAGATAATTTGATCACAAAATCGAGAACTAATTTGGAATAAAAATATTGGGGCGATTGGCGTTACCACCACCTCCAACATAATAATGATGTTATATAGACCAAATAGCCCAATATTTTTATAGGCCCCTTTTTTTACGATTTTGTGTTCAAATTATCTTACTATTCAAGTTGAAATCAAATGGGTATTTATGAGAAAATGTTCCATTTTTAACAATTTTTGTAGATAAAAAATGTTTACGTTAAAATGAGATAATTCAAGAAGTTTTAGGCAGATGATAATAATATAATAAAAAGTGTTCTTTACCACGAACTATTGATAATATAGAGTACTAGACTAGTTGGCTCGTGCGAATAATTCGCAGAAAATTTTGTTTAGTGAAAAAAGAACAAAACAATGTGGAAATAAGTAGTTCCTGTGTGTTATGTAAGGAAGGAATTAATATTTTTTCTTTGGTCAAGTACAATATTCCATTTAACGTTAGTAGACCAAAATATTTGTACAAATTGCTTTGCTGGGACCCATTTTTAAACGCTGACGGTAAATATAATAAAAGTAATAAAAACAAAATGCCGCGATCATGGGATTTTCTAAAATATTTAAAAAAAATAAAATATAAAAACAAACAGATACCTTTAAGAAATTAAAAAGTTAATATATCAGGCAGGAAAAATTCAACTCCTAAATGCAATACCTTTAAAGAGGAAGACAATATTAAGTATAACAAAACTAATGGACTGTATTTTTGTTAATAATTGTCTGATTTCTACGATTTGTTTTTTGTTTTGTAGGTAATTTAGAAATCTTTCAAGGAAAAAAAGCATATTTTTTTTAATTATTCGCATACTATTTGAGTTATTCGCAAATAAAGTTTCTCTTCCTTCATAATTTTTGTCCAGAAATTTCGGGGAAATAGGACTATTTTTCGCATGTGAAGGAGAATGATATCTTCAAAATGAGTGATCAATCATTGGATTTGATGAAGATTGACAAAGTCATGGCGTACCGACAAAAAAAAACACCTTTTAGAAACAATATATAAGATTATTTATTGATTTAATGAAGTACCAAGTTTAAAATTTTGAAAAATTTCAAGGATTTTATTATAATTTTATCAATATTTGATCAACACCAATAATAATAATAAAATGTATAAAGCACAAAATAATTTATTAATTTACTGTTTTATTAATTTTTTTTTTAAGAGAATAAACAATTTATGCCTGTTCATATAATACCTTTTATATTTTCCTTTAAATGAGCATCAGTATATAAAGACAAACGCTTATTTGTACAATCGGAGTTTCAATTATAATAATTTTTTTAAGAACCTACCCCGTCAAGTAATATTTCAAACTTCCCAACAATAAATCGTTGGTATCCGGACATATCATTATACAAAAAAGAATGTTAAATATTTCCGAGAGCGGACACCTCCATTGTACACTTATGGAATTATTTAAGAGGCAGAGGGAGCAGTTATGAGGAAGGAAAAAGCTGGTTTGGCAGCCTCATGAGGGCTTATTTCCTGTCGGAATGGGCATTTCCTTCCTGCGGTGTTGGTCTTTCTTGGTCCTGGCTTCATTCAACACTTCAACGCATTGTCTCAATGGAACTTTTAATATGGCCTCAGGGAAAATAACGGTGTACAGGAAACTATCTATCGATGTTATTTTATAGATGTTTCGGTTGCATTTGAATCTAAACTGTTATTCTTCTACTATATAAAAATCTGTTAACAGATCATATTTTATATGATTTAAGAAAAATAGTTAATATAATTGTGTAAATAATTTAACAACAGACAGAAATTACACGTTAGGTCACAAATGGGAAAAATCAAACCACACAAACTTGTATCTCTAAATCTTTTATATGTTTGAGATCATGCAAATTTCCGTTAAATATAAAATTGATCATAGGAATTTGAATAACGTTTACACTGAAAAGTTGAACATCTTGTATCAGTCAAATAAATGTAGATAATTTTTTCTTTTAACTTTCAGTTAACTGTCAGAGCGA